GCCTTTTATTGTCAGAGAACATATGTGAATATTAACTCTCTAGGATCTGATTCACTATATCTGAAGATAGTGTTGAAAAAAATACTGAAGGAAAAGAACACTCTGTCTGCTCCCTCTTGGTCTCCTGTCTTTCTCAGTTTCTTATTTATATGCACTCAGGACAGACTGATCTCTCTGGCAGTTATCTTTTTATTATCTGATCATCATGGACGGAGGAACTTGTCCTCTATTCTGTATGATTGATTGATCCAATCATTGTGGAGACATACTTCATCAACTCACCTTCATCCCTGCGTCCAGATAAAGGCCAGAGTCTGCCTTACTGTTACAGTAAAGACCACCACTCTTTCAGACACCACACGTCCAACTGGCCAAGATCAAGACAATCTTTATGCAAATATATAGTCAGCTTACCACAACTGGACACAGCTCGCGTACAAAACTTGTCCAACTGCACAATTGCTCTCTTGTCACGTGCTCTCAATGACAAGAACATTCTTTTTCATGTAAACAGCAATAAATCTATTCCAACTTTATAAAGTCTACATATCCACCACTCCAGCTGGCTTCTTGAATCCTTCCACTGCTAGCCCTCCTGCCTTTGCCATTGCAAACCCTGTAGGGGCGTAAAGATTTACTGATACGAGTCGGAAATCAGTTTCAGCGTTATAGACGCACCTACATTGGTATGCAAAGATCGGTTTCGTGAACCGGTCGAAAGTTGGACAAAAGTCTAGCCATTTGTAAGAATTTGTCTGATAGCCATTAAGTACAGCGGTAGCATGACGAATTATTGAATTGAACCGTATCGTTTTATATTAAAATACATCGTCCCTGAATCATATCGTAGCCCACGTATCTAGATACGTATTGGATTGTCTTAAAAGTGAGAGATGCACACCAACAAAACCCTGTTTCGCTTTAGCCCCCACTATGCCCCCAGTTCAGCCACACGACCCTGTCCTGTTTCATCACACTAGTTCCTGTTACCCCACAAAGCAAGGTGATGGGTAAAATACCTCAAAATAACAATAGACAAATCTTGTCAAGGAATTTGTTGACAAAAATAAAAAACATTACTGTTGTCCTTAAAGAACAGAAAAGATGTTCTTCAGTAGGTTCAGCCATTCACAGATTTAATGAATTAGACCTCAATAAGAGAAGTTTGTGAATTGAACTACCTACTGAATTATTGACTGCTGTTATTACATTATTTTTAGGCTCCTACTGATTGGGTAAGTGTCACTTTTTGATTTACTTTTCAATGAATTCCATTATTGTTAAATATTTTCTGTATTTAATGTTGGACACACTTTGTTGTATCTAGCAGTTTTACATGAATGAACTATTAACAATATTTATTATTGTTTGTGTTGTAAGCAGAGTCACTTCCTGTAAAGTCCATCAGAGGAGCTACTGCTGGACTTACAACCAAGGCCAAGTTTTGAAGTTCCTCCATCGGAAACAACTATGTCCAAAAAATGTCATCACATTTGTGTTTGATCTTTTTCAGACCAGTTATTGCTTTGGTTTCATTTTGATGAAAATATTTAAACACAATGTTGGAGCTGATTGTTCATTGACAGTCATCTTATATCTTTCTGATTAGAACTATTAATGCACTTTGAATACATAAATAAAGTTTATTTGGCCTACGGTAGTCTGAATAAAATGTTTGCCAGAAATCTTAACAAAGTCCTTCTGAACATGGATATATCAGTAACAGTAATACTAGTAATGGTCATAGACAGTAATTCTTCTTATACTGATCTGCTTGATACAACATCAGTGCAAAGCATGCAGACAGATGGACAGACAGACTAACTAAATGCCATGGTCAGTTTCAATGATGTCATAACTTTATTTCTCAGTCAGTGAGGAATCTTATATTTAGATTTAAAATCTTTTGAGTGTGGGTTTTATTATCCAGCGCTCACTATGCAAGACTGACTTAATTCAAGTAAATGTCACTTTTTTGTCAGTTTGATCTTATTTGGAGTTATTTTAACTTGACACAAGGGACATATTAGCTACAGGACCTCCAGTATGCTTTGACACTGACTTTAAGCTCTGATGTTTTAAGACAAAAACATCTTATTTCCAGTATTAGTCTTTTGGCTTACATTACCGTATTCTTGGCTTTATCTTGGAGGAAGATATCTAATTTTAAGAAGTTCATTTTTGTCAGCCTGTTGATGACAGTAGCACCTCAGATAATTTATATTCCTTTCAGTAAAACAATACAAAACTATAGTCTCAGAATAATCATTACAATCCCCAATAAAATAGACCAGAATGAAGCAGATGTAGGTAACTGATTCATACTCTACATGAGATGATTCAATATGCAGGTTTAGTGTATATCAAATATTACAAACCTTCACTGACTTCACCAAAGCTGAGTATTTGCTCTGAAGAGTTTTGCTCTTACAATGAGTCAATTTACAGATCATCAGATTTAAACTTTAACAGGCTTGTTACTTGGACCTGTTTTGTCATTCACAATGTTAATAATATCTGCTCTTGTAAGTGGATGGTTAGTTGAGTCTCATCCTAACATCATGGTAGAGTATCAGATCTGAGTATAGGCCTATTGAAGGCGTGTGATGTTCTCAGAAGTAACTGATGACCAAATGTGTGTTTTTAGATATTATGTAAATCCAGAATTGGACCAGACTGATAAATAACTGAATCAGGGCAGGCACAAGACTGATATCTGATCACACCAGGCCAGGAAATCATTTTGAAATTTGGACTCTAAATAATCAAATTGATTTTTACAGAGAGAGTTATACAGCAAATTATCCATTGGTAGTCTTTTAGTTCTAAACAGGGACAAACGAATCATTGTCACAGGCCTTTCCCAAACAAATAAATGAATACAATAAATAGAAATAACAGTGTTTTTCTCCTTGAAGTTCATAATGTGACAGTAAATGAATGACATTGATGAACAGTATCATCTGAGGTCAAGAAACAAAACTGAACACAGTCAGGTTTGTTCATTTAACCAAGATAGATTTACAAAAGTGACTGATCTGAATTTGTCTGAAGTGTTGCAAACATTTTATTTCTCATATTGACAATAATTAACTACAAAAGTGTAGTTCTGTATTCCTATAAGTGTGTGTGTTTGTGTATGTTTGTAGGTGTGTGTGTGTGTGTGTGTGTGTTTGGTCAACAAATGTTTTGGGGGAAGACTCTCATCAGTTATTAACTGGTTCTGATCTGGACTAGGCTCTCACTTTGTCGTGGGACGATTTAGCTCCTGACAAAATGTGCATCAGATATCTTGGATTCCTTCTTCTGATTTGGTTTCCTGGAGGGCTGCGTGGTAAGAATATTAAATACTTTCACCACCATTTGAATTCCTTAAAAACAAATACAGTCACTGTAGAGTAATCCTGCTTATTGTATTTTAGCACAAAGTGCAACACAGTCCTGTACTGCTCCCAGACTAGATGGTGGTTTCTTTGTCCCAAAGCAAGAGACTTATTCTGATGGAACCACTCTGAGCTTTACCTGTAATAACGGATATAAACTTGCAGTGAAGGGCTGGTGGGCAACAACCACATGTCAAAATGGTGCATGGTCTCATGAACCACAATGTATAGGTAAGTGTTCCCTACAATACTTCCACTGTTTTTAACTTTTAACCTGTGTGCTGTCACTCAGTATGAGTCTGTCGGTCGCTCCACTTCTTTCGTCCAAACTGAAATACTCATCATATCAGATGGATTGCCAAATCAAAAAATGTGTGCATTCATGTCCCTCACTTTATTTTAATCCTACATCTGCATAGTCATATAAATAATGGCACTTAGAAATATAGATTGCTGAAGAGGGTTTAAGACACCATGGTGAAAACTTTTGTTGTCTCTGTTTTTTTTTCCTCAGACGAAGAAGACTGCATTGCACCAGAGATACCCAATGCAAATTACACAACAAGCCCAGATGTTTGGTATAAGGATGGACACGTATTTAGGGTAACATGTAATAAAGGATATGAACCCAAAAACCGGGCTGCTACAACCAGATGTAATAAAGGACAATGGACCTCTGTTGTAGTCTGTGAGAGTAAGTCTGTCTGATGTTTTATACCAGTAAGCTTTAAAACTAACAGGCCACAATAATATCATTGTCTATATTATAATTCCTACCTTTACCTATTGATGGCAAATGTGTTTATTTTTACAGAAAGTTTCGATTCCTGTGGTGAGCCCCCTCGAATCCCCCATGCTGTCATCAAGCATGAATACAAGGAGGTGTTTGCTGCAGATACACAAGTGTACTATGAATGTGAAGATGGATATACTGTACAGGCAGCAGAAGACACAAAATCCATCTTTTGTGTGCATGGATTCTGGACTGATGGTCCAACATGCAGTAAGTGGACAGTGTGCTGAGATATGCAGGGGTAAAAATACTTTGTCAGTGTGAAACAATAGTTCCCAATCTGGGGGTCAGGACCCCCACTAGGGTTTGCAAAAGTTTCATGGGGGCTCACAAGACCTTCTTGATTTTAGGGGGTGTCAGAAAAAATATATCTCAGCATGTCATTCACTTCTTTGAAGAAATGGAAAGTAAAGTAACTTGTCTAATAGAACAATGGCCTAGCGCCAGGGATAAAAAAAAAGCACTGAATTTGTCATAGAAGAAGCTTGGTAAGTCTGTATGATTGTAAAAATTGTAAAAATAATACATAATACAGACAGAGAGAAGTTCCATAAACAGGAAATAATCTGCTTAAAATGTGGCCAAATCCCTCGTTTTATAAACGCCTTGCAGCTACTGAGTTTACCATTTGGGTTCATTATACACTTTTTAATACAATATGAAATATCTATAGAATATGTCACTTAAGCAGGGGTCATCAGTTTACTAAATGATAAAAAAGGGGTCCCTTAAGGAAAAAGGTTAGGAACCACTATGCTGAGCCGGATACTGATATTAGAACTGTGGAACGTATAAATACAGTATGAAATACTTAAGTAACTTGTACTGTATATGTATGTATTGTATTTTATCAAATATATCTCTAAAGTATACCGTTTTCATATCGGCTGTGTTTCCACTTAGACAAAGGAACCGGATCAACTGGACACGGTGGTTCTGCAGAGCGGGGGCAAACTGATGGACGACACAGCTAGCATCTGTTTAGCAGAGAGATACAAACGCTGCAGCTTGGAGGTAGTTCATTGATTATATTCAGAATTGTGCGGAACGAGCCAGTGATATTCAATACACAAGACCCAGAATAAACTGGAACAAGAGACTGTACCAAAATATAGAATTTTTTTTTTTTTATGTATTTATTTATTTATTGCCATGGACACGAACAATGCTGCTCCTTTATTCCCA